CCCATAGCTACAGACTTTCATCTGCTTCATTTTCTTCCCAGTGCTTGTGGAAGCCATTCTGCAGTTCATTCTATTTTACCACCCTCTATTTATATCCGGAGATTGAGAAAGCTTGCTGTGCGTCCTGGCAACCGGCGCATGATTTGTGCCTGTCGGAAGTCCATGCCCGAGGCTCAATTTTGGCTTGGGCATGCACTTCCGATTGCGAGGTGAGGGAAGGAAAGACATCGCGGCGTCTGAATATCGAAGGCGGTGGTTATATCCCCTGCTATAACCTCTCTCCCATTGGCGTATTTTGGCTCATGAGGCAAGTGGCGCAAGCAAAGCCAAAACTTGGGAGCCTTCAGCCCCCACCCCCTCCTACCCCCTCTCTCCTTCTTGCCACGCGACTGGGCGCAAAGTAGCAAAAAGACAAGTGAGAGGGGCGAAGGGGGGTAATGTGAAAAATAAATCCCCAGAGGGGGCACTTGGCATTTCTAGGGCATAAAAGTAAGCCTGATAATATAATAAATATTCTCTGATACATCGATAGGGAAGAGCCTCTAGATTACAGGGACGCCTACATCGTATGGATACCTACACGGATTCCTAGGAAAGTTGATTTAAAGTCGTGCGTTCTTAAAGAAAAATCCCCCCCCCCCCCACTGATCCTTGACAACACCCTCATCAAAATACGTCCGCAGACGTGGGTGAAAAAGCACGGCAGATTTACTGAAAGATTGATAGATATGAATCGTCCTAGGAGTCGATGTAAAAATCACCACGATTTCTACCCGGACTCCCGCAGAAAAGTCCCACGTTTCTGACGGATAGAAATCGTTCCGCATCGTCTCTGCCATCCTATATGCGCTCGCCTCACAATGCATCCCCCCAGGCTCCTCCAGAACAAAACTAAAAAATTCTCCGACACATCGAACAAGACGACTCTCTGGATGGCAGGGAGACTTTTTCGCTTCGCGTTCAGTGGTTCGCTCAGGAAACAGTACAGGTACATTCAAAGCGGGGAACGTCCGAAATTATATTTCGCCCACCTTTCGACAAAAGTGTGGAAACACGTCCGAAATAACTTTTACAGACGTACATTGCGAAAAGGTCTTCTGATCGATAGATGTTTCCCTGGAGTGCATGGACACATTTATGTTCGTAATCTATGCTCAGGTTCCCTTTCCTTTTCTGGAGAAATCAATTCAGTGACGTTTTTCCTTGCATGCCTCCAGTCTCGCAAACCACCACAGACCACTCTCCTATATCATATGTGGCAGAATCGTCTAGGATTCAGATGCGGTATTAATTTCTGGGCGTTTGGGTCGCCTAATTCTGGACCTTTTTCTTTGTTGAGCTTTGGTTTTCTAGCCGAGGACCGTGTGAGCAGACGACACTCAACATGAACAGACTCACGCAATTTTTTTTCCCATAACTTTCATTCCCCTTTCCCCAACCTCTCATGCCCAGACATACTCAACACACGCCTTTTCCCACTCCTCCCCCTCTCCCTTCCATCTCGTCGCCTAGATTCGGTCCTGCCTGGACCGAATGGAGTTCTGGAGCCGAGGCCTTCCTCCAATTTTTTTTTAATTTCTTCCCCTTTCAAAATCCCATCTCCCTGTATTGCATTGGATGCGTTCTCATGTTATGCCTTTGGCATTTAGCTCGCAGTATATGGTACTTACACATTATCAATAGGCGCGGTAGCGCCTATTGATAATAGCTAACGTCTCCCCTCCCGTCTTCCTGTGTCTCTGTCGTCTATGTCGTGTGGAGGGCCTTAAAAGTGGACAAGAGAAAGATAATTTAGCACGAGCGGTTAATCGGAGGCAAAAGGAAAGGGTCCTGGCCTCACTCCACAGACAGGACAACGGGAAGAGCCGGACGTAGACTGCAGAGAAGATCCCAGACAAGAGATCGCAGGCCCGGCTGACGAGAATGACTGACTGGGACGAACTCCCACCACGGACAAGCAAGACTGCCAGAGCCAGACTCACCACGGACGACACGAGACGGAAGACGAAAGACGGCGTGTCCGGAAGGGGGAGGTCACACCCCCAGAAATACAATGGAGGGCTATGCGGGCCCAACCCTGACATGGGCAGAACCCATGCATGGCCGCGAACAAAATAATGTCCCGCGGGAGCCACAAAGCTCTATTAAGGTTATATTCGATTACTTACTTTTACTCATGACAGATACATAGCATGAAGGCCACTTTCGTATTATGACGTGACGCGACTTTGGGATCCTCGCGAACGAAGCAATGACGGATTCTAGCTCGTCGAGTACTTCCTACGAGTGTCACGTGAGCTTTTTGTTTCGACATCGTTGCTTCCCCATCTCCCAGTCCGCTTTCCGTCTTTTCTTATCTCTTCGCGAGGGTCCCGTGGCATTGAAATCGGGGGATGCACCAGCACGTCTGGGCGCTTTCCGCGTTGCTGCGACGGTGGTGAGTGGTTTTCCGAGGAAAAATAGATGTGATCGGTAGGGATTCGTTTGGGTGGGCAAGTGCCTAAGGTGCTCTCTCTGTTCGTGTTGCTGGCGGTGGGGCGGCGGGCCGGAGCGCAAGATCTGGTCATGATGGTGTCGTTCGACGGATTCCGACACGATTACTTCTCCGTCGCGGACACGCCCAATTTCGACACGTTGAGGGAGGATGGGGTCTACGTGCCGAAGATGAAGCCGATCTTCACGACCCTCACGTTCACGAATCACCACGGGTCTCTACGCCGAGACTCACATGGCCATCGCGAACGCACTCATCGATCCCGAGACGGGGGAATATCATTACCTGTTCGAGGATGGAGACGGTGTTCTCACCAAAGATCCCCGCATCATCCCGATCTGGGAAGTTCCATGTCATTTTCGGGAGGCCTAACGTGGGTTAAGGTTAGACTCCGATAGCGGTTCTCGTCGAGTGAGCTCTCGTCTGACGAGTATGCTTGTGGGAATGTGCAGGTTAAACCTCAATTTCAGTGAATCCACCATCCGCATTAGAAGACGATCTGGGACGCATCGTCCCGCGTTCTTGCGTCTAACCTTCGGCGTGGAAAAGCGCAAGCTCGTCGACTTCGCCCTCCAGGGTGAAGTACACATGTTCTGAGTCGGATAGGCTGTAAAAGTTACTCGGAAAGGATGGGTCGAAAAGCGTTCTCTGTGTGCTTAGAGAAGGGTGGGAAGACCTTGCGAACGGTTGCACTTCTACTCAAATCATCAGTTACAGTCTTTGCAGTGGGACTGTTGCCAGCTAAACTCCATCTAAATCCGAAAATGTGCAATGAAAGCTTCCTCTGTGACTTTCCTCAGGAACCGAGATGAATAAGAGATTGACGTTCACCCGGATGCGAAGCATACCTGCAGGAGCTTTCTCCCAGCAGGGGATTCATTAATAATAGAACAGCTACTTGTCTTCGAGTGTACAGAACATGCGTGGACGTGTCGATCAAATCCTTTATGAAAGATGTTGGGAAGGGTAGCGTCTGTTTGACGAGAAGCGGTAGCCGTACGAAACGTGACGCCTTCGTTCATCTATATTTCACAGCTGCTGCATCTATTATTCATTTGAAGGCTTAGGAAGGAATAGGTCAATCACCGATTTTTATCTGAGGATCATGAGAAGAGACGAGACTCGGTTGAAATTCGGATAGTGCTAGGTAAAAGTCCTCCCTAGCACCTTCGCAGTTTTCTTTATTCTTGCGGAACGCGTTGAAATTGCCGCCGAACCATGCAGAGGAGTGTGGCAGTCTCCTTTGACGCCAGGCGAAGCTCACACGAACTCGGACCAGGCTAATGCAAAAATATTCATTCAAAATTCTGAGATCAGACCATCGAGGCAAGGCTCGGAAATATTTCGCATGTATACCCTGTTGGATCCCGTGCCACCGGTGTTCACGTTCGTTGGAGAACTTCTTCCCGGCCCGGGCTCTCTCTTCGACGACGAAACGCGAAGTCAGCCGAGTGGCATGGAGTTCCACCCTGCGCGAAGAAATAGCCTTCGCTTTGCCATGGCAGATCGCCCAGATCATGATGCAGCGCGCATAGGCAGCCGTCATGTTTTCGCAGTAGCTCATGTAGATCGGTCGGAAACTTTTAGAATATCATCTTGATAGATGATAAATATTAATTTAAAAAAGTGAAGTGACTCGTTTGGGCCTCTTGCCTCCCTCATTTCTCTTCTCCCGCTCTAAGGTCACCATGTAATGGCGGTAGCAGTTGACCATTTTAAAGGCTGCGCACCCGCGCGCTATATGGGCCCCGCCCCTGAATCGAAGGCGATATTTCGTCAAGCGGAGTCCATCACGCACGGGCTGGACTCGGTTCGAGAAACTGTCGAAAGTATAGGACGTGGAGCTTCGAGGGACTACTGCATGGCATTTAACGCCAATGTGCAATCATTTGGAACACGAGATCATGAGGAATAAGGTCGCCATCGATCGTCAAGGTCAGATGAAAGAGGCAGAAATCGATTTGAAAACTGAAAGTGCACCGGTTGGTGTCGGTCCTGTCACCATCAGATTCCTCCAGCGGTTTTCCGGACATGTGAGAATCAGAATTCTTCCTTCTTTCGAAGAAAAATGCAATCTCCTCCCCGACGGTTTTCTAAAAACTTTTTTAGTGGGCATTTTCCTGAAAGGAAAAAAAAAGTTGCTTATAATCCCGTTTGTCACACTTTAATTGTCCGACGATTTGTCTGATCAATGCGAAAATTGGTAAGCGGGTAGATGTATTGGTTGAGTTCGTTTTGCGGTGAATTTGCACAAAATCTGAAGCTCATTCCTTAATTGTTCGACATTCCCCCGATTTCCCTCTGTGGTCTTAAACGATAGGGTTTTTTTTTCCCCTCAAAATTGCGAAGAATGACCCCGGAACATCATCTGAAATAGGCTTGTTACGAGGTACTAGCCATTGTTCCCATGCATGTACTGTAAGAGGAGCTCAATTAAAAGAGTTGACATGACATGTCTCCGCCCAGGCATTGGGTCGTTCTGTCTGTCCGGAATCCTCTGTCTTCAGGAAACTATTTTGGCTTTTCGTTTTTCTCATCGCTTCTGGCTATATGACCTATGGCATCGTCGACGTCATCGAGGCATATATGTCTGGCGCGAAAACGACCACTACTCAGGTAAAATTATCGTCTGTCTCGTCTTCGAAGTTTCAACAATGGACCGTTACCGATGGATTTATTAATTTCCGTGTTTAGATGGAGCCACGGGAAATTCTTCCTTTCCCTACTGTCACCATCTGTCCCCAGTCGAAAGAACACGAAAGATCTTATGATTTTTCGGGGTTCTTCGGTCCGATGGAACAAATTATAATGTGGGACGACGAGAATTTCCAGCAACTGGCAGGACTCGACGACCCGATGGCCGATTTACCCTTTTCCTTCTACGGCGAGAATCGCACGGCAGACGACGACGGAATGCAGGAGACCTGCATCAGACCCTTCGCTGCCGGAAGCCGTACGTTCACATCCCGAGTCGTTGTCGTCGAGGAAACACCTGTCGTGACCGTGTCGCTAGTGCGTTCCCTCGGCTCATTTGCAAAGAAAAAAAACATGCTTTTGGGGCATGAGTACGAGGTGCATGGAAGTGACCAACTCTTTTCTCGAGTCTAAAGTCCTCAAAAGTCAAAAGCGTATAGAGAGAAAACAAAAAACGTGATTCTTTCTTCGATTATTATCAAGGAAGTAAGTTTCATTCCAAGTCAGTCTCCGTGCGTTATTCGATAACTTCGTGCTTAGAATTGCATCAGCCAAGAGATGTGCCATATCGAATGTTGTCAAAATGTGGTTTCTCCTGATTTTGCGATGATGAATGTATTCCTAATAGTGACCTTTGAGTTGTTGCCCGAAATGATCCTGATATATTCCGTAGTTCACGCTCGACGTAAAGAGAAAAATACTCAGTGACTTTCCATAAACCCTTCATCATTTCTGAGAATGCCGAAACTACCAATCGTCCGTCCCAGAGGAGATATCTCGTTGAGGCCTCGTGCAAATTCTCCTCTGCAGATGATTCTCTATCCATGCTGGGCTTTGTCGAGGAGCAGCTCGGCCCAAACAAGTACGTGTTGGATGGCTACTCGGGCTTGAAGCAGACAAGTTCCTTGAAACCCATACTCTATTGTAGCTTCAATGAGGGTCCTTGCCACGATGGGTAAGGATATTTTCCTGCTTTGCCAATCCAGGATCTATTTTGGACATCAGATATGATCATGAATTTCGAAAGAGAACCCGTGGCGCAAGTTTTCTTTGTAGCTTCAATGAGGGACCTTGCCACGATGGGTAAGGATATTTTCCTGCTTTGCCAATCCAGGATCTATTTTGGACATCAGATATGATCATGAATTTCGAAAGAGAACCCGTGGCGCAAGTTTTCCTACAAGTTTGATAGAAAAATTAAAACATGTGGCAGAAAAAAAAAGAGTTGATTTCCATTTACTGGAGAAGTCATAATTTTACAGGTGAAACTAATGTCGACTATTGTTGAATTTGTGGAATTTTTTTTTAGTGATTTCGAATACATGGAGCTTCATTCGCGTGGGAATTGCTTCACATTCAACTCCGACAGAAAAAAATACGTTCGTCGTAATACACCCTCAAATTCCGGTTTCAACGAGAGCTGGGATCCGTGGGTGAGTCCCTGGGATCGGTAACACTCGAAGGAGTTGAGGCCATGTCCCGATCATCCCGATCATCTCGATAATCGAGCAGCAGGGGCTTCGGCTCGTACTGGCACCGTACTCGATGCGCCCGACTTCGATCGGAGGATACACGGTCTTCGTTTGGAGACCCGGGGGCGAAGATTACGCGCTCGATGAAGGAGCCGATGCGAAATTGGGGGCGGTGTCATATGTTGGACTCAAAATGGTGGAGTTCCAACGACTTCGTCCGGAGTTTGGGGGGGATTGTGCTCCCGATTCGTACCTACGGCTGCGATTCGACCCCGAGGTTTTCGTGGTCACGAATGAAACAGTCTATTCCAAGGAGGTTCGGGATATTACTTTATTGGCATGCCTTCTCCTTCAAAGTGTTTTTTTTTTTTAATCCTCTCTATCGATTAGGTGTGTCGGGATTATTGCATTGCCTCTCGATTGTTGCAAGAATACAGCCACGGCCAAAGCGAAGTGGACTGTCTGCCTTTCTCGTACTCCTCTCTGCTGACCAACAATGAAATTCCGACGTGCGCCCAGCGTGAGCACTTCATACTGTGCTTCCTTTGTCCTGTCCTGGTGCATATTCATTCTTCATGGTTTCACTTTTACATGCCGTACGTTTCCATGTTCGGACAGAGCATATGGAATCGGCATGGAATCTTCCTCACCATTAAAAGGAAGATTCCACGGCAACAATCGCGTTTTTCCGTTTGCATGCTCTGTTCGAATATCGTAACATTCGGCGTGTAAAGGTTAAATTGAGAGAGTACATGAAATGTCTTTAATTTAGGTTTCTAAAATGGCTTCCTCATATTTTTGACGAGGTGCACTAAACCCTCCGAGCTCTGTCTTCTTCGTAACGGTCCGATCCGACAGGAGAGTGCGAAGGGTTTAAAAGAATTCAGTCGAGTAAAGTTTTAACTCTGTTTCCCAGACGACGATCGAGTCCCATCGTATATCGAGAGGAAGATGAAAAATGCAGACGGTTCCTGCGGTTGCCCCTCTAACGGAAATCCCAATTTTAACTTGAGTAACGTGAATTCAATATGCCAGATCACTGATCACCAACGACGTGTCTTCAAGAGTACAGGCATAACCTCTTCTTTCCTTTGGATCCGATTCGTTGGAGTAGTTGGACATATAGGACGTATGGAAGTTATGCCTCCCACTGCAATGAAGTGCCAGGCCTTGTCTGCAAGCGGAACTGGTGGCCACCAAGGTCATCTTCCTAAGCGCTTGGAGTTGTCTCACCATTGACGTAGCCCACCTGCTTCAAAAACCAATTCATACAAGATAAATACCAGTGAATACCGGACGATACATTTTCACACATGTCCAGTAATTAACTCTGAAAAATGAATTTACCATGAAATAAATCAGTGTTCCAAACGCAATTCGACACTAAAAGTAAAAATTTTCAGCATTTCTTTTCGAGCAAACATGGAATAGCTTCATGTCCTCATACGCTGGAAACCATGTAACAATTTATAACAATTCATTGTTCTTCACTCCAATGGGCCATACATTTTCGATATTGAAATGGAGTGGAAAAAGGAGCGGTAAATCAACCAATGCAGTAATTTAAAAACGATTCAAAATGTAATTCCTGTCGAGTTCCAGCCGTTCAAAGACGCCGTTGACTCACCCTATAGATGTCTTGGAACCAATATTACACAGCAGATAGTCACAAAACACTTACAATAGACAAATCGCAGTAAGAAACAGCCATTTGGTACGGCGAAAAAAAAATTGAGAAAGTGAGAAAGCTCACAAACTGAATACATTGAAGAACCTATAGTTTTGTTTCGATTTGTAAGGATTAAAAGATTAACCTTCGCTTGTTGCATTTGAGATGACGCATGTTCAGCAAGAGTGTCCGATGTACTTGGAGATGCTGTGTGGGGAGGCGATGAAGAAGGGGGCTCCTGCTGGAAAAAGGCCTCATCTCCCACCCAACACCTGCAATAGAAATGGTGAGGTAAACTGGTGGTCAACTAAAGTTGCAACTAAGTACCACATTCTCTCACCACCTTGAAGCTGCAGGAAGGGCGCTTCCCTCTCCCCCTCTCGATCAGGAAACACTTCTTGAACCAGGGAGCAAACTGCCAAAGACCTTGTGACCTTAGGCCATGTCAACTTATGTCACCCACATCCTGTAAATGGCCACGTTGACTGGAGAAGCTCAGTCTAATATAGAAAGCACCAGCGAACATCAAGTTGTCCTATTGGAACCAGCGGCGAATAGTGGAAACTGAACTGCTTTCAACTGTAGGACTAATTTCAGTTCTACCCATGAATCTAAAGTCTGTCCCACTCAATTCAACCTTGGGAAAATCCAATATCTCCAAAAATACATGAATCTGATAATTTCCAAATTAAATTAATCCTTCATTCGAAAATCAAACAAAATCTATCAAATTCCAGTAGCTATTGAAGAGCGAAATTGCAAAACGATTTATCATACAAAGCAATTATAATTGCTGCCATGCATCAACCTAAAGCAATTACTAAGCTCGATGGAACACACGTAATTGAGAAAATTAAAAAAATTCAACAATAAAAATTTCAACAATACCTCCCTCAATATATACATATATAAATCAAGTAGACAACGTTTGCACTCATTTCAACATTTGAATTGATTTGAATGTAGTCCCGTGGTTGCCTTCAAACTTAGAATGGTGCTTGTTACAAAAGGCAGCATTTATCATACCATGAGAAGTGTGGAACTATTTTACTTCAATCTAAGTTCTAATTACCCAACGTGACCATGTCATGTGACTTAATGGAGTTGGACGATGTTAGGGTTAGTTAGTTTGTTAGTTAGGGTCAAGGGTTAGAACTAAAGCCATGATAGCTAAGGATGGTTAGGGTAGACAAGGCCACGTTAGGTTTAGTCGAAGGCAACTAGAAAAACTTGGTCTTTGTTCAAGCTTACTTCAAGTGTATATATTGAGGTTAGGTATTAAAGTTCCTTCACTCCTTTTCCCAAGACACTGTTTCGAAGCAACATTTTAATTACACATTGAGACAAATTTTATATAATTCATTTTTGAAGCAAAAACAGGCTCATTAAACGAAACAGGATAGAGAGTGAGGCAGTCAGCTAATCAGTGGGAAAAAATCCGAAACTCTGAAGCCAACGGTTACAGACTATGCTAACGAGCCCGAGAGCTCAGAGCTCTGCAATTAAAGATGTCCCTACTGACCCCACAGGTGCCATTTAACTATGGGTTATAGTTGACGAGCCAAAAGAGGAGCCTCTCCGCGGTCCGGGTAGACCTCACTATAACTCCCCTCTCCATGGAAGTGTCTGGAGCACGCCCTGCACCAGGCTAACCCGGCATGCCTTACAGCGTTCGCCGACCACCTACAGGCGGGAAAATATTCCCTATGTCGCGTTTAAATACGAACACACTGTATAGAAAATATATTAGCAGCGACGAACAACGCACACAGACTATAAGAATGTCAAAATCCTAGTTTCAATTGGAAAGACTTGAAAGAAAGTAATAAAAGAACGAAATTTACCTGAACTTGTTGCCTTGGAGGTGAAATGGGGAGATGACGCATTTTTGGCAAGATGTTCCGGTGCACTTGGAGATGCTGAGCGGGGAGCCGATGGAGAAGGAGGCTCCTGCTGATAAAAGGCCTACTCTTTTACCCAACACCTGAAATAGAATTTGTGCATTTTACTTGCTTCATTTACGATAATCTCATCCACAAGTCTCATTCAAAATAAGGAATATATCCCCAAAATAACCATTCTTGGTGGAAAAGTCCCCATCCGGGTTGAGGTGACAAGTGCTGTATCAGAGTCGCTGGCCATCGTACATCGTACGGTTAAAAAGAAAAAAAATTTGAAAGAATGAAAGAAAAATGAACTTTGAAGAATAAACAATCAAGACAGAAGTAGTGATAGTAAGTTGCAACTAAGACTAATACTTGTTCCAATAACTCCATTCAAGTCTGAAATCACCTCCAACATCAAAATTTTTTATGGGCAAATATGGGCATTCTGTTTCGCCGAGCGCTGGACATGCTAAGTGGTACGTGCGAATATTCTGGGTAACGGATGAAAATGTGTCATTTCTGCTGGAAGGTTCGAAAAAGTTTAATATAGACAAAAAAAAATTTTTCCCTACGCCACTTTTTTTCTAGAGTTTTTGAGCCGCACACGTATTTCACCGCCTGGAAAGTTAGCACAGATTTGGCACTCGGCATGATATGCGACTAGTGGTCTGAAATGGATACCAATGACATTTTTTTCCAGAAAAGATTCGTGCATTGAAAGCTGTTGAATCGAAAAAAAAAAACGTTCAATGAAATGCGACTGACCTTTTTTCGCTTCTGCCTATGGAAAACTGGCGTAATCCCCAGTTTTTCGAAAGTATGTCCCATTCCCTTCCTTGAGGTGCTACAGCTGGGAACTTTGCCCGAGTTGTCTGTTGTCTTTCGTGCAGGCGTGCGAGACGAGCTCACCCTTACGTGGGTGTTCGGGTGTCTTCAGACGTCTCCTCGGTGGGATCTTCGGTCGTGTCCCCAAGTTGGTCTCCCAGATTATCGCCGATGGGGGTGTTTTCGATGGGACCTCCAAAAAACTCTCCGCTGAAGAACTGGTCTTCATATCCGACCCCATCAGATTGCTCGGTCATGGTCTCCTCTGACCTGCGGCCAATCTTTGCAGAAGAGATGGATGTCCGTCTGTTCGTCCCCTCTTATCCTTTCGTGAAGTGCTCATGCTACAAACTTTGCCCGAGTGTCTGCTGTCTTTTGTGCAGGATTTTACGCGAACCAGACGCGTTCCGGAGGGAGAGGGAGGCCCTCGACAACTTGGCTCAACTATGGGGAACTCATTACTACATAATCTCTGTCTTCGACCTGAGGAGAGTGGTGGCGGTACATCCCAAGATTCTCTCAACACTCTTCTTTGGGGGACGTTAGTCACGTCCACCCAGTTGTCCCTGATCATGTGAGGAGCCCGTGGAGCGGAAATGGAGTAGTTGGAGCAAGTGGACTCGGAGCCGATGCGAAGCCCATATGGTAGATGAGGCCATCCTGGCCATGCCACTCAGGTAATGGTATCTGTCTGCTATTCCTGCACAATTGGCAAGTGCCTGAACCAACCTGCCAACAGAGGTAAAAATTGAAAAAAATGTAAGAATGAAAGAAAAATGAACTTAGAAGAATAATCAATCAACTTAGGAGTTGCGATGGTAAGTTGCAACTAAGTCTTTGACTCACCTCCCTAAAGCTGGCGCTTTCCTCTCTCTCAGGAAACCAACCAAGGAGCAAACTTTTGACCTTTTGCTACATCAACTCAAGTCCACCCACATTCTGTAAATGCCTAACTTGACTGGGGAAGCTTAGGGTCTACTATTGGAAGCATCAAGAATCAAGTCGTCTTATTGGAACCAGCGGCAAATGGTGGAAACTGAACTGCTTTCAACGATAGGACTAACTTCAACCCTCCCGTCAAACTAAAGTAATATCCTCCACTCAGTGTAGCGAAAATGCAATATCCAAAAAAATCCCACAATGTATCTTTTCACAAATTTCCAACTAAATTAGTAATCCCCTCCCACATGAAGAGAAACCTATCAAGTTCAAATAGACCTTGAAGAGCGAAGTTGGAGATCGACTGCTGACACGAAGGTTCAATTATAGTTAAAGGCATGCATCAATGTAAGGCAATTTAGCTCGATGTGAGACGCATGTAATTCAGTAAAATAAAACACTGCAATCTTCAATACCTTCTCAATATATACATATATCAATAAAACAGATGATACGTTCGAACTTACGAATTTTGTTCCCTGGTTACCATCAAATTGGACTGGTGATTGCAACGAAAGGCACCACTTATACCATTAGAATTGTGGAACTTTTCATTCCTTCAATCAAAGATCTTCACCCAACGTGACCTTGTCATGTGAATTTTAATGGAGTTAGACGAGGTTATGGTTGGTTAAGGTCAGGGGTTAGCACTAAAACCACGTTAGCTAAGGATGGTTAGAGTAGACAAGGCCACGTTAAGTTAGGTCAAAGGGAACTAAAAAGATTTGGTCTTAGTTCAAGCTTCCTTTATTTGTATATATTGAGGTTAGGTATCAGTTTAATCAGAAGAATTTTGCTTCACAGCATTTAAATCCTTGTATATTAATTCCACATTTAGACACCAACTTAATAAAGTTAATATTTGGGATAGCAATAGGCTCAACAAACGAAACAAGCTCACGCGAGGCAGTTAGCTGATTTCCCCCTTTATTAAAAGGGGGAAAAAAATCCGAAATCCTCTAAAGCAACCAGATCCTTACTATCCTAACAAGCCTGAGAGCTCAAAGCTCTGCACTTCATGACGTCCCTACTGACCCCACATGTGCCTTTTAACTATGGGTTATAGTTGACGGGCCGCAAGAGGAGTTTCTCCCCCTCGGTCCGGGCAGACCTCACTAGAACTCCCCTCTCCATGGAAGAGTCTGGAGCACAACCTGTATCAGCAAATTAAACATTGGTATAAATTTCCATTCCTAAATTTCCTGTCACCATATATGACCCTGACAAGAAGAATTGCGTCAATTGATTCTTGCCATAAGCAAAAATACATATAAATGCTTCCAAGATGAATTTATACACTGCATTAGTCACCTGCAGAAGAAGTTGGATGGCATAAGAGGGCGAAAGAGCCAGGGGACGGCCGGGAATTGAACTCTGGCCTCCAGATTGCCGTTCAGGCCTTAATGTCTCTCACCTCTTAATGCTATCCCTAACACCACATTTACTTGAAACCCATAAAAAGGTCAACTATTCGCATCAGAATTTGTCTTACAAGTGAAACAGATAGGCATTACTCAGTGATGACTTTTAGAAACTGATATTCAACATCGAAGACAATTGAATTCAATTAACCTGAACTTGGTGCCTCCGGGGAGAACTGACCAGCAAGGATTTCCGGCAAGCTCGGTGATGCTGGGCGGGTATGCGATGGAGAAGAGGTCTTCAAGGCCCTCTCATTCACCAAACACCTGGGATGGAAATTATGAATTTACTTTGGTTGATTTAAGAGAACCTCATCCATGAAAAGATGAAAAAAAGAACGTGATGTCTTACCAAATTTACTTTTAGAAAAGTTCCCTCCATCTTGAAGGTGAGTGATGGGGACACCGGTGCCGAATCTGGGCTGCTGATCATCATGGCTTCCCAGAAAACCACAGACCCATCCCAATGAAGAACATCATCTACGGCCACTCAGTTGTCCCCAATTGGGTGAGGAGCCCATGGAGACTGGTTACGGGCTGTGGGAGCGGCCTATGGAGCCGCTATAGCTGGAGCAAATAAGGAAAAACACTATGCNATTGAAAGAAAATATTATAAGAACAAAATTAACCTGAACTTGTTGCCTATGGGGAGATGATGCATCTTGGGCAAGATGTCCCGGTGCATTTGGAGATGCTGAGCTGGGAGCCGATGGAGAAGGAGGCTCCTGCTGGAAAAAGGCCTCCTCTTTCACCCAACACCTGAAATAGAATTGGTGCATTTTACTTGCTTCATCTACGATAATCTCATCCACGAGTCTCATTCAAAAAAAAGGACCTATCCCCAAAATAACCATTCTTGGTGGAAAAGGCCCCTTCCGGGTTGAGGTGACAAGTGCTGAATCAGAGTCGCTGGCCGTCGCACAACCCCAGATTCCCTCAGCACTCTCCTTATTGGGACGTTAGTCACGTCCACCCAGTTGAAATTGAGTAGTTGGAGCAAGTGGACTCGGAGCCGATGCGAAGCCCATATGGTAGATGAGGCCATCCTGGCCCTGCCACCCAGGCAATGGTATCTGTCCTGCACAATTGGTAAGTGCCTGAACCAACCTGGCAACCAAGGTAAAAATTAAAAAAAAAGTAAGAATGAAAGGAAAAAGCACTTTGAAGAACAATCAAGACAGGAGTTGTGAACTTAAGTTGGAACAAAGAGACTTTGACTCACCTCAATAAAGTTGGCGCTTTAAAGGCGCTTTCTCTCTCTGGAAAAGAAACCACGGAGCAAACTCAAAGACCTTGTGACCTTCCGCTACATCAACTCATGTCACCCACATTCTGTAAATGCCTAACTTCGCTGGGGAAGCTCGGGGTCTAGTATTGGAAGCATCAAGGATCAAGTCGTCCAATTGCAACCAGCGGCAAATGGTGGAAACTGAACTGCTTTCAACGATAGGACTAACTTCAACCCTCCCGTCAAAACTAAAGTAATATCCTCCTCTCAGTGTAGCGAAAATTCAATATCCAAAAAAATTAAAGTTAAATTAGTTAAAGGCATGCATCAATGTAAAGCAATTTAGCTCGATGAGAGACATGCAATTCAGTAAAATAAAACACTGCAATCTTCAATACCTTCTCAATATATACATATATATAATAAAATAGATGATACGTTTGAACCGATGAATTTTGTTCCCTGGTTGCCATCAAATTGGACTGGTGATTGCAACGAATGCACCATTTATCGTACCATTAGAATTGTGGAACTTTTCATTCCTTCAAAGATCTTCACCCAACGTGACCTTGTCATGTGAATTTTAATGGAGTTAGACGAGGTTATGGTTGGTTAAGGTCAGGGGTTAGCACTAAAACCACGTTAGCTAAGGATGGTTAGAGTAGACAAGGCCACGTTAAGCTAGGTCAAAGGGAACTAAAAAGATTTGGTCTCATTTCAAGCTTCCTTTATTTGTATATATTGAGGTAAGGTATCAGTTTAATCAGACGACTTTTGCTTGATAGTATTCATGTCCTTGTATATTAATTCCACATTTAGACAGCAATTTAATAACGTTAATATCTGAGATAGTAATAGGCTCAACAAAAGAAACAGGCTCACGTGAGGCAGTTAGCTGTTTAATAAAGGGGGGAAAAAATCCGAAGTCCTCTAAAGCAACCAGATCCTGACTATCCTAACAAGCCTGAGAGTTCAGAGTTCTACACTTCAAGATGTCCCTACTGACCCCACAGGTGCCTTTTAACTATGGGTTAGAGTTGACGGGCCACTAGGAGTTTCTCCCCCTCGGTCCGGGCTGACCTCACTAGAACTCCCCTTTTCACGGAAGTGTCCGGAGCACACCCTGTATCAGCAAATTAAACATTGGTATAAATTTCCATTCCTACATTTCCTGTCACTATATAGAATATGACCCTGACAGGAAGAATTGAGTCAATTGATTTTTGCCATAAATAAAAATATACATATAAATGCTTCCAATATGAATTTAAATAATGCATTAGTGTCCTGTAGGAGTTGGATGGCATGAGAGGGCGAAAGAGAGCCAGGGGACGACCGGGAATTGAACTCCGGCCTCCTGATTGCCGGTCAGTGGTAACACTACACCACCGATCCCGGGGCATTTAATCGGACCTCTTAATGCCATCCCTCACACCACATTTACTTTAAATGCATAGAAGGTCAACTATTCGCATTAGATTTTGTCTTACAAGTGAAATGGAGAGAGCCATGACTCAGTGATGACTTTTAGAAACCGATAAATATTCAACATTGAAGATAATAGAATTCAATTAACCTGAACTTGGTGCCTCCGAGGAGAACTGCTCTGCAAGGATTTCCGGTAAGCTTGGTGATGCTGGGCGGTTATGCGATGGAGAAGGGGTCTTCAAGGCCCTCTCATTCACCAAACACCTGGGATGGAAATTATGAATTTACTTTGGTTGCTTTAAGAGAAACTCATCCATGAACAGATGAAAAAAGGAACGTGATCTCTTACCAAATTTACCTTTAGAAAAGTTCCCTCCATCTTGAAGGGGAGTGGTGGGGACACCATTGCCGAATCTGGGCTGCTGATCATCATGGCTTCCCAGAAAACCACAGACCCACCCCAAGGAAGGACATCATCTACGGCCACTCAGTTGTCCCCACTTGGGTGAGGAGCCCATGGAGACTGGTTACGGGCTGTGGGAGCGGTCTATGGAGCCGCTAGAGCTGGAGCAAATAAAGAAAAAAACTATGCCAAAACAGAGGTCGTGCGCATTCCCGCGCTTGGCAACAGTAAGGAAACCAGGAATATGAAATATTCAGTATCTGGAAATTTGATTGGATGTGCCGCACACACCTCAAAATAAGTTTGCCTACACGCCTGCAAATTTTCATCAGTATCGCCTGCCAACAATCGGACTGTAAGCTCAGCAAAAGTAATTTTAAGACCATCCAGTAATTACTTTCTAAAGAGATTGCAATACCTATTTCCTTTTCGTCGCTTCTCCTGCCGGCATTCAACTACGGAATGCCGAAAACTAATTCCGAAAGTCCCCGCTACCGCTTTTTTTTCAATTCGATTGCAGGGAAAATTAAAGGGCTGTCCTGAAATTCAAATGCTGCGAAATTGGTTCGATGCTCGACAGTGCAAATGGTCTTCACGTGGACCAACTCAAATTAGGATTCGCAGCGTATGGCATTCCTTTGTCCCTTCCCGTAATCAATTACGCATTGCAACAACGAAAGGTAGACGGGCTATTATGGCAGAGATGTGTCTACGTTACACAGCTGGGAAGAACATATTTCATACCATCGATAGGCCGACGTGTAGGAGAAGCGGGTTGAGGCTCGATGAGTGCACACGGAAGGCAATTCCAGAATGAAAGGAAAAGACGGTGGAGTTCCCTCCTCCACCCCCGTCCCGCCCCGCGTGCATGGCCTTCACTGTCACTTTTCCTCTGACCTCCCCTCCGTCCGAATCAAAGGGAAATCTGCCGTCGACGTGGTGTCGCGGCATTCCCCCTCGGAGAATTCGTTTCCAGACGGAAAAAAAATTCTCGGAATATACCGCTTTCCTTTCCTTCTTTTTCCGGACTGCACGTCTGCTTATCCCTTCCTTTGCAAAAGATAAAAATATTTTCTTTCGAGAGGGTGTCAGACGATGAACGCATAGTCCCATGAGAGAGATGGAAAAGGGGTCTGCGACTTCATTAACTTGATTGCGCTAATTTACATATTGCTACATAAAAATCAATTTAAAAAACGTCTATCGTTGGTCAAAAGAATGGTAACGAGTTCCATTCGAAGTAATTTTTTTTCGAATGGAGGACCTCCGGAACTGACTAATAACGCCATCGAACACGTCAGCCTCTCCATTCCCAGTTTGCATGCATTTAATTACCCATCGTGATTAACTTTCAGTTGGTTGCGGGAACCCGATTCGTTGACTATTTTTTTCATGTTCAGGGGAATCTCGCGTCGAATGGAATGGAAATGGAAACAGGAATGAAAACAGCCGTGGTTTCAGAATTGTCTGGGGGAGGGCTCCTCTGGGCCGACGTCCTTCGTGCCGTAATTGGGAGTTATTTCCGATTCAGCGTGGGATTTAACGAAAGCCATTCTTTGGCCGATTCCCCAGCATTGACTGATGCATCACGATGCCTTTCTCTTCGGAAGAACCTTCACCGATATCGACCCATGTAAATGGTCCAGTCGTTATCGAAAGCTGTTTTATTCCTCGTGCCGAACAAAACTGGACAGATTAGAATGAAATTTTTGATGGTCTTGGGAATCGTCGAGAGGCTCCGGAAGATACGCACAAGATCAAGAATACTTCCGTCAATCGGATTCCCCCAGGGCAGAGGTGTCAAATCGGTTGGCTGAGCCGTGTTCCTTTTCCTGGAGATGCCTGCGGACCGCACCCTTAATTTTTCACCAAAATTTTTGCTGACAGTCAATCCAAGGGGAAATTTCTGCCCTGAAGAAAAAAAACAGTACCTTTCAGCTTGGGGTGATGCGTTTCTCACCCAGTGAACCCGCACGACCGAGACCGTCAATCGCGACGGAGGTCACAAATCAGCTGTTTGCGTAGAGGCTAGCCTGTTTCCCGCCTTGGAGTGGAAGAGGGAAATCATCGCAGGGGGACGCGTCCCAAGGTCAGACATCCCTTCTCGCCTCGATTATTAAGGTCGACTGTCTGCCTTGCAGCCATCCAGAGAACCTTCCTCCATCGGTTCTCCTGTCTGCTTTTCCTTGGGTTTCCACTCTAGTTAAACGCGACCACCTCTCGTCTATTTCCCGGGCGAAAGTGAACCGCCCCGTCTCCCTTTCGCTTCAGACGATATCCTTCGTCGATTGGAAATCATCACTACGTCCCAAGGCCGGACACTCGAAAGTTAACCAACGCAATGAACACAGGAAAGGGTTCTTTGTCAAATCTGCGAACGATCAATGTCTCAATTTTGACTTCAGAGGGGTGTGGGTATTCATCAATGGAATTCAAGTTGATAATATTTAAAAAATTGGCCGGAAAAAAAAATTCTGGGAACAACTAGTTTATTTCTGAATCTGACATTCTTTGGGTTTGCAGAGGATTTCGATTACAGTCACTTTTGAACTTTTAGGAGGAATCGTCCGAGAGGGACGAATCTTGGCGAAGCGTGTAGACATGAAGTTGCTGTTGCACCATCCATAGGCATCGTTTCGGCGGTCTCGCGGAAATGACCCCTCCGGGGCCCGAAATGGCGAGGTTACAAAGGCGGGGGAAAAGAAAGAAAAACCTACAGGCAATCCGGACTACTGACGAGTTGCTGAGAGATTGGGGCTAGCGAACTGTCTCGTAAAGAGAATGAGGCTAATATCAAGGTTCTGCATGGAAGCATGCTGGAGATATAAGTCGTTGAAGAGACCCATCGAAATCGTGACCTCAGAACGGCTGTGTTTCCTTCTTTTCTTCTCGTCTAGACATGAATTCCTTGAGGGGAGATGCTCACCCTTAACCCATCGCATCAATGAAGAAACTTCCATTTCCTGTCTGTCCTCTCTTTTCTACTCAGACGACTGCTTGTGAAGGAGCAGGAGGGAGTCAGCTGATTATTTCATAACACTCCACTCCCCCCAGACAATTGGGAAGCTTTCTCTCCCAATCGAAGCGCTCTGAATTAATCTGGGTCGGTATCATCAGGCCTAACTCAATATCATTCTCTGCTCATATTAAAGAATTTCCCGAGTTCCGTATTTTGTCGAGCAGTATATACAAGGATACAAGGAGTGGAGCCAAGCAGGGGCGAACGAAGCTCCGATTCCCCCACCAACCTTCTTTCCCTTCCCCTCCCTTCCTTTCGTCCGCCCCCAGGCACCAAGAGCAGGAATCGGCCAAAATGCAGCCAGTTCCTTAGACCGAGCGTCAAGTGAACACCCACCTCCTCAGCGCTGCCTCGAGCATCCTATCCAGCCGGCATATCGAGCAGCCTCCCTGATCTTTCACCTTCTGTTTCTCTGCCGTCTATCCCTCTCTTCTTTATCGAACAGTCATGAAATAAGGAAGAGCTAAAATCATTAATAGGAACCACTCTGTCTCTGTCGTTGCTACTGCATTGACTTCCTTACTTTTTGGCTTCTTCACAACTTATCACCTAAAAGGAAAAAGATATCTGTGTCTTCGTGTCCCCTGTTCTCCCACTTTCCTTTTCTAGCTCTTTATCTGCCTTTCTTCCTGTGTCGTTTTGTTTTCTCTTTCTAATAATCTGAAAGTAATGCTCTACTCCGCTTTCAACCTAGGATTTCACTCATTTACTAGCGACCGTATTAATGAATTTTAACATTTTCATTATCCTACCAAGGTTTCAAACTCTTTCCACAAAGGGACTCGGGATCATGAGAGAAAACGGATCCACGTCGGAGGTGGTCGGAGATCCATTTCCTGCCAGGTTGGATTCATTGAAAGCGTGATTTGGCCGTCAGTGATATTGATGGCATTTAGCGGGGGGAGATCGAGTATGTTCTCGCATTAAGTTGCACCATTTCGCCCTAGCACAGTAGTATGGGGAAAATGCCATGGGGGCTGTTGCCCCGGGCCTCACTTTCCAGGGTGCCCTCGAAGAAAATTAAGCGCGTTAAGTATTTGCGTAAAGTAGCAAGGGGGTGGAACAAGGATTTACTTGCCCTTGGCCTCGTAACTTCTTGATACGGCCCTGCATTCACCCTTTCACTAGTGGCGGATCCAGAAGAGGGGGGGGGGGGGGGGGGGGGGGCCCCCCCCCCCCCGG